TTTKGGGATGGTCCTGTGCAGGGCAGGAGATGGACTCGATGGGATCGCTCCCAACCCCAGATATTCTGTGGTTCTGTTAAAAATGTCACGGGAGGTGACGCGGTGACACTGAGGGGTCCTGAGGGAGGAGCTCGCATTGTCGCCGTGGCACAGAGGGCTCTGTGCGGGTGGGTGCCTTGATATCGCCTCTTCGGGGCTAAATCCATTTTTCCTTCCCAGGAAGAATCCAAAGGAGCCAGAGCTGCTATTCCAGGACAATCCGGAGCGGAGGAAATTGCGTGGGACAGCTTTGGCCTGCGATCCGGAGCAGGAGGTGTTACACTGCACACAAACCTCCAAAAAAAGGTTATTCAGGTCAGGAACAAATGAGGCAGCGATTAAAAGTGACTCATGGCACAGCGCTGTCAACGCGGTTGGAAGCTGAGAATTGAATAAAATGGTGTAAGGAATTTGTTCTGTACGGGAATAAACACATAACACCTCTCCTGTATAGAAATAAATACATAACACCTCATCAAAGTGTTGCAATTCCTCACACTTGAGGTGACCAGTGAGTGCACACTGGTCACCTCATTTTTCAGATGTTTTAGGGATGCTTAATGTAGTTCTGACACCCGCTGTAATACCTAATTTGTTTTTTATGAATCTTACAGTTCTGTGAAGCAAGTTAATAGTGTTTATTTCAGCTTCTTACGCTGAGATCCATACTTTTTTTTCACTTTAGCTCATCCCTTTGTGTTCACAAGTACTCCCCATCTGAATGATAAAAAGATAGCAGTAAAGTTCAAAGAATAACTGTAGCTTCACTTAATGCCCTTAAGAAAAATAAAGGATACATTGCTGATGAAACTGGAAAGGTTGATAGGTATCCGTAGCCAGGAAAAGAAGAAACATAACTTTGTATGGGAGACAAAATATATGAGGACTATGGCAAGGAGACAGAAATGAAAAAGGGCATGGAACTGAGTAAGCAAATCTGTGAAGATATAAGCACAGAGTTTTGGAGAATAAGGAAAAGTCAAAACCCAGTTGAAGCTTTTTGAAGAATGTCATGTCCTACTGATACTACATTCACCAGAGGCAATGCAAGTTTAAAAAAAATAGGCTAACAAAACGAAAAAGATAACATGATTTGTAAATAGGAAAGATAAGGTTAAAAATGAAATAATTAGGATGAAGAAAATGTCACAGACAGACTTGCAAAAAGTCTGCCTGGGAGTTGGGGTACTAGAGGGAGAAAATCTGATAACATAATACTTTTCCAGTTCTAAGGAGGACAGAGATAAGGCAGTTTGTTTTAAGTCAAGAAAAGGAAGGATGAAAATTAGAAGAATGAATGATAACTCTGGAGGTGGAATAAGCTGCAGACGTTTTTTGAATACCAACATTTCTCTTGCAGAGAATCACTGTGAAGGGCTGACTATTGATGATTAGATATTCCAACAAAGTATCCAAAAGGGCAAGCAAGGATCCTCACACTGCCAGTGTGCTCTTAGGCGAACTGACTTGTAGGGAAAAAAAAACCAACCAAAACCAAACTGACCAATAGAACATAACCAGTCCTGTTTAAAAACACAAATTTTGGTTCACTATTGGTGCATGTAAAGCGTGTGTGCCCCATCTGAAAGCTTTTCTCTAGGCTGGACACAAATCCAAAGCAGAGAAGGATGGAAATGAGAGTTGTGGGATGGTGCAGAGGGAGACAGGACAGTGTAGGACATGGGCAAACTTAGTAGTAAGTTCTGAGAGGCACAGAAAGGAGCCCCACTGAGTGACCACACTGCTGTGAAGTTTGTTTATAACAAAATCAAAACCAAACAAAACCACAAACAAAAAAAAACCCAAACCAAAACCCCTCGACAACAACAAAAAAAACCCAAACAAAAAAGGAAAATTTGGTTTTGACACAGCAAAAATAATTTAAAAAAAACAAAAAAACATATTGTTTCTTTTTTTTCAGTGGAGAAACAAGCAGTAGATACATGAGGCATTCTGTTGCTGGCTTGTGCAGGTTTAGATTGTATTGATGTTTCACAGGACACGTCTGAAATTGCTACCAAGAGTTTAAATAAAAGTTGATAAAATTAGGAAAATGTGGAAAGAGTTTAGATGTTAAATTGATATATAAACCAAATTAAATAAGACATGCCAGGGCATTGTGGGAAATATCTCAATTTAGATAGGAATGAGAGGGTATATTCTTCAGTGGTTTTTTTCTGAATATTATCTTTTACATTTAGTAGTCATCTTGTTCTGCAAGGTCGAACAGAAACCAAATGTTAAAAGGATAACAGTTTGCTATAAAGATTTTGCTGAGAAAGAGGATCTTTAACACTCCACACCATTTAAATTCATACGAACTTTCATTCTGATTTTTGCTTAAGTAAGCTTGTGATTATATGCAGTAATATAAGAAGATTGGTCAGAGTCAAACTTGGCAAAGGAGAGTAATATTAATCCAGTATTTTCTCAGTCTGATTCAAGAACTGACCAAGAAAATGAAGAATCAGGACAGATGTGCTTAGACCTGTGACTAGCAAGTGATAATATTAAAGATTGTATATGTTTTGTATGTGACTGATCATTAATGTTCTGATCAGTTCTCTGGCTTTCTTGTTCTTTTTTTATTTTTTTTTTATAGCAAATACTGCTTCAGCCCACGGTATAGAATTTCCTGACTTTTCAAAGCTGCAAACGTGTTTTAATCTCAGATTATAATTTCGGTAGTTTTAAAAAAATACGTGCAGAAGTGTGCATTAAGTGATGGTCACACAGTTGMCAAGTGATTCATATGAGTCCTTTTGATAATCCATGTATTTATTGGTAGCTAAAAGCAATGACCCTTTAGAGAAATCAATGGATTCCCACCAGCAGCTGACTGGACCACAGCCTTGCAACTCCACCCTGCCAAAAAAACTTCTGTGCCTGTAGGGAAATGAAGGAGAAGGATGTAATCAAATAGCAGAAATAGCAGGCAAAACGGTGACCTTCCACAGTTCCCCATTCCTCATTACACTGTGGGACATTTGCCARCATTCCCCATGTTTCTGTGTAACTCCAGAACATCGAATGGCAGCGAGCAGAGTGTTCCTGCCTGCAGAGCTCCACTAAAAATATCCCCAGTCGGTGCTGAATATCTGGTTAGAACAGCTTGCTGAACTCTATCAATTAGCCAGATCTTAATCTATTTAATGTGTTTTATTAAGGCTATATAATGCTAATGTTTTAATCAAAATGTCAAGCAGTACTAAATCAGATTCATTAGGAAGGTCCAAGTCTATCACATCCATGTGGTTACCTTGATCAAACAAACCTGTAATCTCATCAAAAATTGAAGTCAGGCCTGCTTGTCAACTCTTGTTTCCATAAAGCCATGTGGACTTGCTTTCATTACATTCCTACCTTTAACTCCTTATTGATTAAATCCCACATAGCATGACTGCTTTAATTAACATAACATCACTGTTTTGTCTAGGATTACCAGCTCTRTTATTACCTTGGTCATTCTGCTTGATTCTTGGAATAACATGAGCTTTCCTGTGGCTCTTTGAATACTAGCTGTTAAGAGAGCAGTTAAAAATTTACATAAGAAGGTTGGAAGTCTCCTACTCTTTAAGGATCTTTGGATACTCAGGTGCCATAGAGACTGCTGATTGAAAAACAGCAGTGCCATTCTCATCCTACAGAGGTGTCAATGGATAGAAAGATAATTCATCATCCTCATGTAATATTAATACATTATCATTTTTCTTTCTCTTCACAAGTACAGGATGGAAATATTTACCATAAAAATGAGATCTTTTATGCATGCTCAGAGACTGGATTTCTTAATGAAGAAGCAGTGGAATGTGTCTGTACAAAAYTGAGAATGTAATTTTGTAATAAGGACTCCATTTTGTGTATCAGGCAAAGTGCAGGTGTAAATTAGCCCATAGGTAGATTCCCCCATGAGTAAATCACCTCAGCTTGGAGTGATCTGTTCTCACTGCTGTTGAAAAAGGAAGATCCTGCATTCATTTGAGCCCTTGGG